ACACATACAGATAGACCTTTTTTTTTTTTTTTTTAAGATGGGGTCTCACTCTGTCACCCAGGTTGGAGTGTAGTGGCGTGATCTCGGCTCACCGCAACCTCCGCCTCCCAGGTTCAAGTGATTCTCCTGCCTCCGCCTCCTGAGTAGCTGGGATTACAGGCATGGGCCACCATGCCCGGCTAACTTTGTATTTTTAGTAGAGATGGGGTTTCTCCATGTTGGTCAGGCTGGTCTTGAACTCCTGACCTCAGGTGATCCACCTGTCTCGGCCTCCCAAAGTGCTGGGATTACAGGTGTGAGCCACCATGCCTGGCCCTAGGCCTCTGTCTTTTTTGATGAATACAAAGATTTCATAGAGTGGAATGCACCAAGATTTACTGAAGTCTGGATTGCTGGTTATTTAGGATGTTTCCAGAATTTGAGACATGGGTCTGATGTTGCAACTAACACCCTTGCTTACACCACATGTGCTTGTTTTAGTATTACAAGATCAAGTTCTGGAAGGAGAATGGCTGGATTGAAGGGTAAGTGCACACCGAATTTCAGAGCTCTTGCCCAGTACTCCATCTGGGGCTTTCCTGTGCACATGCCGCCAGTCCCCAATTCCCCTCTGACTCCACCAGAATTAACACCTCTGCCTGTTTCATTGTCTTCCTTTCATCTCTTGCTCTGCCCCATGACCGTCTTCTTGTTAAAACCCCCAGCTGTGGCTGGGCGCAGTGGCTCACGCCTGAAATCCCAGCACTTTGGGAGGCAGAGGTGGGCGGATCACCTGAGGTCGGGAGTTCGATACCAGCCTGACCAACATGGACAAAGCCTATCTCTACTAAAAATACAAAAAACATTAGCTGGGCGTGGTGGCGCATCCCTGTAATCCTAGCTACTCTGGAGGCTGAGGCAGGAGCATCGCTTGAATCCGGGAGGCCGAGTTAGTGGTGAGCCGAGATCTCACCACTGCACTCCAGCCTAGGTGACAGAGTGAGACTCCGTCTCAGGAAAAAAAAAAAAAAAAGAGCAGATGGCTTCACACACTGAAGCACTGTGTCCACACAGAAACCTGGACAGGATGCGCCCGGCAGCACGGCTCTGCAGAGCCCGAGCAGGGAAACGGCACAAGTGCTCGTCAGCAGATGAAGGCACAAATATAAAATGTGATTGAGCCACACAATGGAGCATCCTTCAGCCACGAAAGGAAGGAAGTCCCAATAAAGCTACAACATGGGCGAGCCTTCAGAACATTGTGCCCAGGGACAGGAGCCAGTCACGGTGGCCACCTCTGCATGAGTCCATTCATATGAAAGCCCAGAATAGAATAGGGAAATCTACAGACAGAAGCAGGGTAGTGGTTCTTAGGGCTGGGAAGGTGGGGACTGAGTGGGGGGTGACAGCTAAAGGGTGCAGGCTTTCATTAGGGGGTGATGAAAGCAATCTAAAACTGTGGTGATGGTGGCACAATTCTGTGAATATGTATAAATATGTACATATACACACACACACACACATATATTTTTGAGACAGAGTCTTGCTCTGTCACCCAGACTAGAGTGCAGTGGTGCAATTTTGACTCACTGCCAACCTCCGCTTCCCAGGTTCAAGCGATTCTCCTGCCTCGGCCTCCCGAGTAGCTGGGAATACAGGCGTAAGCCACCACGTCTGGGTAATTTTTGTATCTTTAGTAGAGATGGGGTTTCACCATGTTGGCCAGGCTATTCTGGAACTCCTGACCTCAAGTTTGCTTCAGCCTCTCAAAGTGCTGAGATTACAAGTGTGAGCCACCGTGCCCAGCGTCTGTGAATACATTAAAACTACGGAGGGTTGGGAGCGGTGGTTCATGCCTGCAATCCCAGCAATTTGAGAGTTTGAGGCAGGAAGATCACTTGAGCCCAGGAGTTCGAGACCAGCCTGGGCAACATAGTGAGACTCCATCTGTACAAAAAAATTTAAAACTTAGCCAGATATGGTGGTGCATGCATATAGTCCCAGCTACTCAGGAGGCTGAGGCAGAGGGATGGCTTGAGCTTGGAAGGTCGAGGCTGCAGTGAGCCATGATCTCGCCACTGCACTCCAGCCTGGACAACAGAGTGAGACCCTGTCTCAAAAAATAAATAAATAAATAAATAAAAACACTGATGGTACACTTTAAATGGGTGAATCGACTGGTGTGTGAATTCTCTCTCAGTGAAGCAGGTGCTCCATAATGTTGGGCCTCTGAATGAGCCAGTCCAGTCACTGTCCCTGACCATCACACAGCGGAGGGGCTGGCTCTTCTTAGCCTCCGCGTTGCGGTTCAAGTGCCCTCCTGCCCCACCTTGAGCAGTGCCGGTCCCACCTCACCTCCCTTCCTGGTTTTTTTTTCTTTTTTTTGAGATGGAGTTTTGTTCTTGTTGCCCAGGCTGGCATGCAATGGCACAATCTCGGCTCACTGCAGCCTCTGCCTCCTGGGTTCAAGCAATTCTCCTGTCTCAGCCTCCCGAATAGCTGGGATTACACGCATGCACCACCATGCCCAGCTAATTTTATAATTTTAATAGAGACCAGGTTTCTCCACGTTGGTCAGTCTGGTCTCAAACTCCCGACCTCAGGTGATCCACCTGCCTCGGCCTCCCAAAGTGCTCGGATTACAGGTGTGAGCCAGCGTACCTGGCAATTTTTTTTTTTTTTGAGACGCAGTCTCACTCTGTAGCCCAGGCTGGAGTGCCGTGGCATGATCTTGGCTCACTGCAACCTCTGCCTCCCAGGTTCGAGCGATTCTCCTGCCTCAGCCTCCCAAGCAGCTGGGACTACAGGTGCATGCCACCATGCCCAGCTAATTTTTTTGTATTTTTAGTAGAGATGGGGTTTTGCCGTGTTGGTCAGGCCAGTCTTGAACTCCTGACCTCAGGTGATCCACTCACCTCGGCCTCCCAAAACGCTGGCATTACAGGCGTGAGCCACTGCGCCCATCCCTTCCCTGCCCTTATTCCTCCCTGTCGCTCCCTGAATTAACTTGCTTCATTCACTGTCCACCGCTGTTCAGATAGAGAGTGTGGGCCCCGCAGGAGGCATCTGGACGTGGCCACAGCAGCCAGTGCCCTGGGTCCAGCCACCCAGCCGCCCAGCTTCCTACCTTCGAGTCTGAGTTTGCCTGCGGCTTCCTGGGTCTTGCTGTGAAGGGCTTTAGAGCATGTTCTTGTGTTCTCCTTGCTCTGTACAGATGCTCCGGCGTCAAGCCTCAGTCTGTGGAAGGGCAGACGGACAGATAGGTGGCTGCAAGGACGGATAGACAGCTCCAGGCCATGTGGTGCAGCTTCCTGGGCACTCACAGCTGGAAGAAAGGAGGGCCGGTTCCAGGGAGCATGCCCACCACTGAGTGCTTTAACCTTCCTGACCTCAGTCTTCCCATCTGTAAAATGGGGCCAATTCCACCTGCCTTACTGGTGAGGGATTAAAGGTGCTAATCAGGCTTCTCTGAGTGCCAAGCAGCAAGGGGCACTGGCCTCAGGGTATTTATAGCCAATCACCTCACAACAGTCCTCTGGTCTGGGAACCTGATTGGAATGGGACATTAAAGTCAAGATGGCCCCTGTTATTTTTCTCAATATTACTTGAATGGTACAGAAACATTTAACTTTCGGCCAGGTGCAGTAGCTCGCACCTGTAATCCCAGCACTTTGGGAGTCTGAGGCAGGTAGATCACCTGAGGTCAGGAGTTCGAGATCAGCCTGGCTAACATGGTGAAAACCCATCTCTACTAAAAATACAAAAATTAGCTGGGCATGGTGGTGCACACCTTTAGTACCAGCTACTCGGGAGGTTGAGGCAGGAGAATTGCTTGAACCTGGGAGGCGGAGGTTGCAGTGAGTCGAGATTGTGCCATTGCACTCCAGCCTGGGCGACAAGGAGACTCTGTCTCAAAAAACAAACAAACACAACCACGTATTTTCAGGCTGGGTGCAGGGGCTCACGCCTGTAATCCCAGCACTTCGGGAGGCCGAGGTGGGCAGATTATGAGGTCAAGAGTTCGAGACCAGCCTGGCCAATATGGTGAAACCCCATCTCTACTAAGAATTCAAAAATTAGCCAGGGCTGGGTGCAGTGGCTCATGCCTGTAATCCCAGCACTTTGGGAGGCTAAGGCGGGTGGATCATGAGGTCAAGAGTTCGAGACCAGTCTGGCCAACATAGTGAAACCCCATCTCTACTAAAAATACAAAAAATTAGCCAGGTGTGGTGGCAGGCGCCTATAATCCCAGCTATTCAGGAGGCTGAGGCAGGAGAATCACTTAAACATGGGAGGCAGAGGTTGCAGTGAGCTGAGATCGTGCCATTGCACTCCAGCCCGGGCAACAGTGCGAGACTGTCTCAAAACCAAAACCAAAAAAAAAAAACAAAATAACTAGCCAGGCGTGGTGGCACATGCCTGTAATCCCAGCTACTAGGAAGGGTGAAGCAAGAGAATTGCTTGAATCTGGGAGGTAGAGGTTGCAGTGAGCTGAGATCCCACCACTGCACTCCGGCCTGGGTGACAGAGCAAGACTCAGTCTTGAAACAAAACAAAACAAAACAAAAGAACCCCACATATTTAACTTTCAAAGTCCAGAAATTACTAGCTGCCTACTGATACTTAAGGCAAAGTTCAAATGATCTGGAAGTGTTTTGTTGCTTTGATTAGTAATTTATTGAAGTTAAAAGCCATACAACATAAAATCAACCATTTTAAAGCACGAAACCCAGGGGCATTCCTGTTTGTTTTTAAGACGTCCTGACCAGGTCCTCCTTTGAGGGGAACCCCAAGGTGCCGGAATCCCTCTCGAGGCCGGGCAGGATTAAGTCCTTAACTGTGCTGGGCCTTGTTTGGGCCTTTACACGCATTACCCTTCAAAACACCTTCCAGGGAGACGTTAGTGTCTCTTCCATTCTGTAGATGGTGAATGGAGGCTCAGAGGGGTTCAGTAACTTGCCCAAGCTCACATAGCCAAGAAAGGGTGCAGCTAGGATGCCCGATGTCTGGCTCCGGGGCCTGGGGGCTCCTAGGGGACGGGCTCCCTCCTGCCCTAAGACTGGGGCTAGAAGACCCCCCTCTCAGGGAGCCAGAGAGGGAACTTGGTCCAGCATTCCAGTGCTTTCCAAACAAAGGTCCTCAGAGGCCTGGGGGTCCCCAGAGGTGCCTAAGGGGCCGCTATGGGGCAAATCAGAGGCTGGGGAGTAGCCCAGGCCCCCCAGTGATTCCATCAAGCAATGTTCCTTGACCCCCTGCATATTTGGGACATTTGGGGAGCAGAATGCTGGGTGCAGAGGAGAACTATTGAGGCAGAGCTAGGATGTCTCCCGCTTCTTTAAGGCTAGCAGTGCTGGCTTCACCTCCTTCCATCCCGAAGTGCTAGGGAGTCCTGACCCCACCCCTCCGGGCAGACTGCCCGGCCGAGTATGACGAGGTCCTCAGAGATCAATCCACTGGGCTAGGTTGGTGCCAAGGAGCCCTGGCAGCCACACCGGGACCCCACTCGGTTGAAGCTGTGGCCAGGTCCCCTCGTCCTGAGCCTGCTCTGGGGACAGCTCCAAGACAACAGCCTCACCTGGGACCTCTGCAGGAAAAGTTCATAGTTTGGTCTCCTTTGGGACCAGGGTACACCAAGAGGGCATGGGGAGGGCACTGCCCTGGGGAACTGGCACTGGGGGATGGGAGGCAAGTAGTGGAAGGAGCCGGGTGCAAGGGTGGGGCCTCTAGACTCCAGTTCAGTTAAGGTTGCCAAGCAGGTAGGATCTTTCTGGAACTCAGATCTGATCACACCTCCCTGGAGGTCCCTTCAGGCCGGCCCTCCCTGCCACACCCTCACCAGACAAACCACATCCCTGTGCCATCCCCAAGCTCTCACCTCCTGTCATCTGAAGTGTTGCGCCTGGCACACAAGGCTCCACCTTCCCTGCCTGGCCAAGCCCTACTAGGAAAGTGAAACGTCACCTCCAGAGAGAATCAGTCACTTTATTGCCTGCTCTCTCCGCCATCTGGCAGATTTACCTACGTGTGGGAGTCCCCTACCCAACCCCGGGCAGCCCAGCATTCTGCATCCAGGGGGCCCTCATCAATGGCTGACTGAATGGGAAGCAGAAGCTAGTGAGAGGGTGGGGCTGGGGGTGGTCAGTCAGTCCATAGCAGCCCTGGACAGAAGTGGTCTCCCCCATCCTGCAGCTGCTCCAGGAAGCAGCCCCCTCTGGAGGGCTCCACTGAGAGCTCCCACCCTGCTGGCTGTGCCCCCTCAGCAGGGCCAGGATGGAGGACGCTACACGCTGTGCCAGGATGAGCGTCCAGTGGACCTCCCCACTAGACTCCCCACCTAGCTCCCTAGCCGGCCACAGGCACTGCTTTTGGTTCTGGGGTTCTGCCCAGCCAGCCTCCCTATCCCAAGGCCAGGCCATCCCAGCTGAGACCCCCGCCCAGGATCCGCTGCACTGCTGGCATCTGTGCCAACCTCCTGATGACAGAGGCTCCCAAAACCCACACTGAGGGAGAGGAGAGCCTGGTCAGCCCCAGGGCAATCCGTGGGGGGGTGGGGGTTCCAAAGAGAGGTGGCCTGAGACCAGAGAGCAGAGACAGGCCCAAGGCGGGTGGGCACGTCTTCCTGGGCGGGAGCCTGGCATCAGGAGCACTGTCTGAACCACAGAGCACAAGAGGCCTGGGCGGCGGCCCGACAGCAGCTACACTCTCCAGCCTCAGTTCCCTTCTCTGAGGGAATGGGATAAGGTCATGGCCCAGCTTTGACACCTATGAAGCCTAAACACGGAGTTTGAAAGCATGATTGCACCAGCCGCTTTCCACCATTGAGATCAACTGCCTCCAACTAGTGCAGAAGTTGGGTAGGGGTGCAAAAGCCCAGTCCCCTCCTTGGGGCTCAACGGGGAAAGGAGTGGGGACTGTTAGATCCACTCTGGCCTTCAGCATGGCTCAAGTCCAGGTGGCAGGAACCAGACAGAAAAAAAGTCCTGGCGAGCTGGAGCCGCCCCACACGGCACTTGTCTCCAAGCCCTAGAAATGCTTGCTCACTGCAGGGGAAATGGTGACACCCTGGGACCAGGCTTCCTCCTGGCCCGCAGTCACATCCGCCGCTGTCTCTCTAAGACCCCCAGGCCCACCTCCGCACCCAGCCCACAGGCGGAGCACTGCCACCTGCCCAGCCAGATCCTGACCTCACTGTGGCCAACCCCAGAGAAGGGCCTTCAGCCCCAGCCCAGCTGGGAGATGCCAAAGGGACCTGGGGAGAGGGACTGGGGCTTAGGGTGGGACAGATTCTATTTCCTCCTCCTTTAGGGTGGGGCGGGGAAATTCTGAGACAAAGTGAAGTGCAGAGTTCAGATCACCCTCAGGTCCCATGGGTTGAGGCCTCTGCACACTCCCCTGCCCAGGCTCAGGGCCTCCCCCACTGCAGATAGCTCTGGAGATAGCATAACCCAGCTAGCAGCAGCGGAGCTCAGGCACATCCAACAGAAATGCAGACTCAGACACCATTTACCACTGCTGCCCAGAGAATCCGGTTTCCCCACAAAGGGTGGGGCTGGGCACTCCCAACCAAGCCTGTCCTGCACAGCTGGGTAAGCAAGGCCATCCCCAGGGAGGTCCCCAACAGAGCCCTACCAGCCAGCCCAGGCAGGGTACAAGGGTCCCCCCACCATGCGGACTGTACAAGCCACACTCCTTCAGGAAGGCCCAGCCTACTGCCCCTCCCACCTCCCCCAGGTGCAGTTCCCTTTCTCTCTCCACCTGGTGCCACCAACCTCCCTACACTCCCCACCACCACACAAGTGGGTTTCTAGAGGCTCCGAGTCTTGCTAATGAAGGGTGCAGTCCCCACAAGCCCTGGGCTCTATGGGCTTTAGGGGGCGGGGCAGGGAGAGCGTGGCAGGTGCAGCCCAGAGGGAAACAGGCAGAGGCTTGATGCAAGGGCTTAGCCTGCATGTGGCCAGAAATGGGGACAAAGGGGTGGGACAGGCCCTTGGATAAGGAGTAAGCAGCCTCTTCCCCTCCAGACAAGAAAGAGGGAGACCACTATTACCCACTGGATATGACCAGGAAGTTTAGGGGACCTCCTGAAGGGAGGGGCTCTAGCCACCTGAAGAGAGGAAGTGGGGAACCACCCCCTGGGCCGGAAGCTGTTTCCAGCCTGGCTCCGGAGCTGCAGGTGGGTGAAGCGAGTCACCTGGCGTCCCTGGGAGTGGGCAGTCAGGACAGAAGGAGGGCGGTGGGAGGCGTGGGGCCACGTCTTCCCGGTTGAATCACAGGATGCTAGGGTGAGGGCTGGGGACGAGGAAACTGCTTCTCTCCCCAGCTTCCCTGCCATAGAAACTGAAACTCATTTTCCCTGCCTGTGGCCCTGCTGGGAACCAGGGCATTTTTAGAAAGCGGCAAAGAGGAAGCTGGGCCTCACCCAGTGTGCAATCCCCAGTAAAACCCGTAGTTCTGCTGACCCCGGGGTTTCTCCAGCCCCAGAGGCCCGGAAGGACAGCTCATGGGACAGCTGTCCTCACATCTCCCCATGCATCCCCAAGCTGGGCCTCACGTAGCCAGTGACGCCGCCCTGCACACTTCCTTGCCCTGGCAAGAGGTAGAAGGGGCAAGAGTAAAGGGCAGGAAAGTGGCAAGAAGGCTGGCTGGGGGCC